GCGGCTCGGGCAGCGAAGCACTGGTGACAGGGCAGCATCCCTGGCAGCTGGGAGGGCGGGTGCCCTGGGGCTGCAGGTAGGAGGGGGAGAGCTGTGTACTGCGCTTAGGGGTTGTACTGAAAGAGGAACGGAGCCCCAGGAACAAAAGAGGAAAAAATACAAAAGAGTTAAAAAAAAACAAATCCCAATTTTTCACCTGGAGAGGAGGATGAAACTGGTGTCAGCGCTGCTCAGCATGGGCTGGCGCTGCCCGAGCCGGCTGACCTGTTGGAGGTGGCTGTGGCGAAAGGACAGCTCCTCCCTGACCTCTGTAATCGTGCTTTTTTGTTTATTTTATTTTCAGGCAGTAATTCACCTGGTTTGTAGAGCAAAGCCTCAGGTCTAATTTGTCAGACGCAATCATTGCTGCTGATGCTGCCACAGTCACTGTGGTGCTGGGCGCTGTGCCTGGCTCCAGTGTGCAGGAGCAGGGCTGGGAGACCAATGGCTGCTACCTGTGAGTCCTCTGCCCGGAGCAGGGGGCTGAGCCAGCCTTGGGAAGCTCTTCTAAACTGGTGTCACGGTGAAGCTTCTCCTCTCGTTTAAAGTGCCGAGGTGGTTGTTTGCCTTTTCCTGCTGTTGTATTGAGTGAAGTAGGGACACTGTGTACTGCGCTTAGGGGTTGTACTGAAAGAGGAACGGAGCCCCAGGAACAAAAGAGGAAAAAATACAAAAGAGTTAAAAAAAAACAAATCCCAATTTTTCACCTGGAGAGGAGGATGAAACTGGTGTCAGCGCTGCTCAGCCTGTGCAGCACGGGTGACGGGCCGCTCTGTACCGGCCTCCTGTCAGAGCAGCCCTGGGCCAGAGCGGGACGCCCAGCTGGCAGCCCTGCCCTGTTCTGCCTCTGTGCATCAGACAGCGCTCGGGCAGGGGCCGTGGGTACCAGAGAGCGTCCCGAGCAGCCTTCTCGCAGCGTAGAGCTGGTGATGGCAGAGGAATGGGTGGGAAAGAGCTTTTCACTGGCCAGAACCAGACAGCGGAGATGCCACATGTATCTGTCTGAAATAAATCCCACTCCCATCTCCTCTGGGCTAGTTTTAAAGCATTTGTGTCAAGTCATCACCCGACACCCCCGGCTGTATTTCTGCATTCACTACATGATACGTGTTCACCGCCGCAGCGAGCGCGTTGCTCAGAGCAGATCCCGCTCTCCAGCGCACCGTGGCTTCAGGGCAGAGCAGCACCGGGGCAGGGCTCTGCATCCCTCACACCCCCCCCAGCGCTCTCGCTCTGCTGAAGAACTGGCTGGTGCTGGGCGCTGTGCCTGGCTCCAGTGTGCAGGAGCAGGGCTGGGAGACCAATGGCTGCTACCTGTGAGTCCTCTGCCAGGAGCAGGGCCAGGGGCCCCATGGCAGCTACCTGCCAGTCCTGTGCCAGGAGCAGGGCTGGGTGACGGATGTCTGTCACCCATGAGCCCTTCTCTACCTGGAGCAGGCCCTGTCGGCTGCTGGGCAGAAGATTCCCAGCAGGAGGGAACGATGCTGGGGGTTTGTGCAGAGAACAAACTGCAGCTCCTGTAACTTCAACCTCTGCCTCCGAGGGCTGAGGAAGGGGCCCCCAGGGCCCCCCAGCAGCTCCCTTTTCCTGGCCGAGGTGTCCCTGCGCTTTCCCGAGCAGAAGGCAGCGCTGCAGCTTTGCTGTCCTTGATTCCTGGGAGCAGGCTGGCGCTGGGGGGGAGGCCAGGGAGCTGCGAGTGCGAAAGCGACTGCAGGGCTGTGTCTGGTGGGGGGGTGAGGTGTCCCGGGCGAGGGGCTCCCTCCCACAGGGCACTGGGATACTGCCAGTCCTCCCCC